ATTACGTCTTATTTTTTTAAATTGTAAAAAATATGCTTAGTATCTGACTTAAATATTTAAATCATTTATATTTCAAATATGAGAAAATATAATAGTCAAATTAAATCAATTTTAAGTGCTCAACAAAATTACACCAATTCAAACCAAGACTCTCTTAATTTCTTTTTATCACTATATCGTTTGTGATTGCTTTGTGTACCAGTTTCACAACTTAATCGAAATAATCTTTAAATTTTTTTGTTTTTGTTTTTTATTTAAAAATAAAAAATTTTATTTTTATGCAATTTTTAAAAATTAGGATAATAGATAAAAATAATTTCTTCTTTAATCTAGTGTGCTTTTATGTTTTAAAAAGAAAAACGAAAAAAAAAAAATTAAATTATCTTCTGGGCGAAAAAAATAAAAAATTAATTTAGTTTTAAATTGCATATAATCGGGTGATTAAAAGAAAAATGAGATAAGTTTAATTAAGATTGAAATTTTTTTTTTTTTTTGTTTTGTTTTCAAAATAGAATTTTCATTAAAAATTAAGCAATAATAATTATATAAAACAAAGACCAATATTGTTGAGGATTACAATTTGAGTAAAAAATGCAAGTATTATTGGAGAACATTTCCATTTGGAAGAATAAAATTAATATGAATATTTTAGATAATTCTAGATAAGGACGAAACAGTCGAATCCATATCAAAAAAATTTTATAAATTTATTCAAAAATTTTTATATTTTAAGTTGAATTTGTAGTTCCAAAATTTAAATTAATATATGCATGCCTTGTATTGCTATTATGAATAATTTTGTATTTTCTTTAAGAAATAAAAGTGACACAATATGCTTAATTTCCAAAAATTTCATTTTGAGCCCTATAAGCTTTCCTATTTTCTTTTATTGTAGATAATTGTAAAGTTACATATACGTATAATAAATTTAAAATCATATAATATTGAATAAGTTTTTAATAATATACTATATATTGTTGAAAATTTTGTAATTCCAATGTTGTAATGGTTATATTACTTCCGGTGGTAAATCCACTAAAATTATTCTGTAGTATGTACAATGTGGTTAAATATCATGCAGATTATAGCTATGTATGTATTATATTACATTAAAAATTTCATGGAATTTTTTTTTAAATTTTCTTTTAGCATAGTATTACAATATACTTACATACATATATGGTTATGGTTTTCAAAATATTTTTATTTTGGTTAATAAACTAATGAGTTGAATGATTACAAAAAAAAAATGAAAAATAAAAGTTTTCTATATATCGGGTATGTTAAAATTTAATTTAATTTTAATAATTTTAAAGAGTTTTATAATATCAAAAAAAAAAAATACAGACGATTCTCTATAAATACATTCGTATTGTAAGTTAAGAAGTTAGTGGTTAAAATTTAATGTATTTTTGAACATACTGGAAAATAAACTCATGAATGCTCAAAATTGAGTGTAATTTTTAATTTTTAATTTAGTTTGAATTTTCAAAAAAAATCTAGACAAAGATTGCTTTAAATTTTCATTCATAAATAAAAAACAAAAATACTAGAATAACTGCAATAAACAGCAGAAAAATAGAATCTAATTTTTATTCAATCAAATGGGTTTATTCTTTCTAAATCTTTCCTAAATGCATGTATTGATGAAATAACAATTTTATATTAATAATATGACCTACTCTATTAAAAACATTACATATATAATAAAAATAATGCAATAACAAAAAAAAAAAATTATAGAGGAAATATTTAAAAATATATTTGGCTTTTTTTTTTGCTATAAGATAAGTAGCTATTTTCATCTCAAATATTTATTTTCATAAATTATTAAAAATTGCATATTTTTAGGGTATTTTTTTTTTTTTTAAAGCTATTTACAAAATATAAAAAAGAAATGAAAAATTAATAAAAGAACAATTTTTAAGCCTATATTTAAATAGAAATTTTGTTTTTTCTAAATTTCTTTTTTTGCTTAATAATAAATATATATAGATATATATATATATATATACATATATGTACATATATGACTGAACGCATTCTATTTTAGTGGAAAAAATGAAAACTATTATATTTTTTTCTCAGGATAACTTAAATAATATGAAAGGAACTGTATTTTGTATATATATATATTATAAATTGAGGTTATGCATACAAATGAATCAAACGTTGTTTTTTTTTTTATTTTTGAATATATATTTGCTATATAGATAGGCTAATATTATAAAGAGGGGCTGTCGATTTTGTTTTTTCATAATAAATTATATAACAAATATTCGCATATATTATATATTTTGTATTCATTATGTGTATATACATTTACCATATACATTATAATATTTTATATGTTATATATTTGTAATACTATATATGGATTGCAATATTATTGAAATTTTATTTCCCTATATTAATAAATCTAAAATTTTGTTTTTGAAAGAGAAACGAGGCTAATAGAATATTTTCTTTTTATAGAATTTTATATATGAATGTATATGAGTATGTGCATATATTTTATATAATAACAAAATAATATTTAAAAAATAGAAAAAATGAAAGTGGAACGTATGCATATGTATGTCTTTATTATTTTTTGAAATAAAATACCAAATAATATTATATTATACGAGTATATAAAATATATGTATACAAACAAAAAACTGATTTCTATGTTACGTATATATATTTATGCTAAATTTATATACTTATATATAGTGTATATATATATATATATATATTTGTGTGATATACTATTTAGTTTCAATGAAATATGGATAATATAAACATTAATTAAATTTATTTTGCCTATTTAAGATGTACGTGATCTCAAATATTAAAAAAAAAATTTTTTTTTTCTTTTTGTTTGATTGCAGAAGAGAATAAAACTTTTATTTATATGAATTGTATAGATTACAAAATAAATAAAAAAAAAAATGTCATATATCAGAAAAGAATTTAGTTTAATTTCATTCTAGATATTTTATATAATATTAAATTGATATTGATGACATCAAATGAATATGGGTATATACAGAGGGATTCAGTAGCGTGGTCTCTTATCTCGCGGGAAAAATAGTTTAACAATTTAATGAAAAACATCTTTGCTTGGGGGGTGGGGGGGAGGAATATTTTTAAATCGTAATTTTAATAATGATGGAAGTTACAGCCCTTTAAGTCCATTCATCTGATCCTGAAACCAAAAATTTTCAACTGGGATTTTGAGGAACAAATATTTATTTACGGTCTCCGCCCCTCCACCTACCCCGCCGGGAACTATTTTTCTATAAAATTATTCCACCTTTCTGCTCCAGAGAGATTATATCACGTTACAGGTTCACCCTAAAGCGTAGTATGCCCTACAATGACATATAATATATAATGTCATTGTGTTTATAATATTTTTGTTTCTTATTTTAAAATTTTATTTTATATTGTTATCAAAATAAAAACAAAAAAAAATTTAATAGATTTTCAACAATAACAATTAAATTTTTTTTTAATATTAAAATTTTTGATAGATGGAGGCGTTAATTTAAATCAATAAATTTAAATTAACGCCTCCATCTAAAATTAATTTAAATAAATTGATTCAAAATCAATAAATTTTTTATTCTTAAATAAGAAATGGTAATAAATACTCAGTGTAATATATATAACACAAAATATAAGTAAACAGTATAGGTATAACTATACTTTTGATATATATCACAATATTGCAATGATACAATATAATATAAATAGACAAATAATCGTACGAATAGGCAACTGAATCTAGTTAGCAAGTTATTTAAATTTTCTATATTCTTAAAATATTGATGTCCCTATAAATATGCAATATTTCTCCAAAAATTTATATTTATGTTTATTTTTAGCTACATATAAGCTAGCTAATTCTCCTTTTCTATAAAAAGAAAAAATTCAGCCGCACTACTTTTTGAATTTATATAAAATTTTTATATAATGAATTCTTGGAAAAGTAAAACTTTAATGTTTAAACATTCAGTTATAAATGGGAATAAAATGAAATTTTAAAAAGTTTTAAAAAATAAAGCGGATTATAAAATACAGTGTTTAAAGTACATGAAATTTTAAAAAATTTATTTTTAAATTTTGAATGTTAATTTACTTTTATTTTATAACATATTTTTAGTAATGCATTTTATTACTGTACGAAGTTTTCAATAGTAAAAAGTATGGATATAATATTGAAAAATAATCCTTCCGGCCTTCCCCAAAGTTTGTATAAAATTTTTTTAAATAGATAGTTGGCGTTGTCGGTGCAGTAGCGGTCCCTCGTAAATCATTTAGCACAAATGTGCCATTTTGTTAATACTACCCCGATTGAGCGTACGATTATAAGTGGTGTGCCTAAATCACCTGGTTCTCTTGAGGAACCTATTTAAATCCCCGATTCAATATCTCGACCAGTCCTGTCACAGTTGGTCTGCCTAACGTGACTAATCTAGCGCCACCCGGAAACTTGAAGAAATAATGATAAATAGTCTCGCTCTTGCCCATTCCCCGGTAGATGTCGTTCCTCGGTGTCACATCTGCCTGCCAAGGGCAATCCTAGCTTATCCGTATGATCTCTTAACTGCCAGTGTCGTGCGTACAGTCAGACAGGTAATGTCTCCCCGATTGCATCCAATTTCCTAAAGTCGTATTTTGGCATTTTTTTTATCCTCCCGCATGTGTACAGGGCTACCGTCCTCAGTGGGCGCACAATAGATAATGTTTATATAAATTTATTTTTACTATGTTCATAGGAACAAAAATCCGTTCCACTATATCCGTGGCTTTGTTTTTCCCAGTAAAAGGAATGGAAGCATCATAAATAAGGTTGAAACATTCATATTGTATCAGAAGTTGAAAAATTTCTAAATTTTCTCATAGAATTTAGTGCTCATTTTAGACTTCAAAGTTAACAATTATTGTTAATTCAATTACTTAAAATTATCAAATTAATTCAATAAAAAATGAAATTTAATAATGAAACTTACCTCCAGATTCGGATCGATCAATAAAATTAACACATATAGTGCATGAGTATAAAAAATAAATAATATTTTTCTGTGACATTTTGAAAAACACTTCCCGCTATTCTACCTTTTTTTACAATTGCATTAAATTATTTCTCTCAATCACTTTCTCTCCTTTTCTTTTTGTACGTTTCTCATATAATTTGACTTCCTTGAGTGAAGTGTTACCGTAGTAATATAATTTAAATTTTGTTTTTATTTCACCATTTTGTTATTTTGCTATTTTCTATTAACATTTTTTATTTTCTATTATTTAGAATTTTTTATTTTTTAATAAAATTTTATTAAATTTTTATTTTTATCATAATGTTTCTTCTTCTAATTTTCAATAAGAAGGAAAAATTTTTTTTTTATCTAATATATTCTTTAATTTTAACACGTATTCATATGACTTTTATAATTTACATTTTTATATTAAACAAATTTCCTAAATTATTCTAATTTTATTTTTCATTTTTTTTTTTTGTCTTTAAAGGTAAGTAGATAGATGCATGTATTTCAATTTTTCCACTAAAAAATTTTGTACATTTATAATGTAATGTTTTTTTCTTATCTTTTTTTTTATTTTGATGATTTTGATGTTTTTTTTTCAGTATTTTATTTTTCTGTTCTTTATAGCCCAATTGTGAGATGTTATTTATGATCTAAATTCGAATATAAAACTTAAAACGTGAAAATATTTAATAAAATGTGAAATTGTATTATACGGTATAAAGCTACTTTTATTATTTTTATGGTATATGTACTTATAATTGTATGTTTTCAATAAGGGTTGCCATCTATTGATAATAGTAAGAATTAAGGAGATAAAATAAAATTAAAGTAATATTTATGATAATTTTTTGATTGATTGGAATTCATTGTATAAATTAATAACCATGTTTTTTAAGGCAATCGTACTCATCTCTCTGTCAAGTCAACAACAAGTAACTAGTGTTATACAACGAATTATTTGTCATTTTTTCAGTTAATAAAAGATCTTTCTAATTTGTATGAATATTTTAAAATATTTCATAATAATTTAATAATAATATTTATGTTTTCTGAAAAAGAATTGTGATTAAATTAAAATTTATAAATAATTTTTTTAATTTAAATTCAATGAATACTTAGTATAACAATTTTAATGAAAATAAGGTGAAAATTGTATAAATTCCGAAATGGCTACAATCAAAATTTGTAACTGAAAATTAATCGTATTATTTTTCCTAAAATTTGTTCTACAAACTTCCCGATATATATATATATTTAAGATGAAAATATTTTCAGAATGAAGAGTTAAAGCTACACCACATGCGTAATCAGCAACATTTAATAGAATTGCACTCGCTACCGAAACTATTCCAGCGAGTTCTCTTCAGCTCATTAAGTGTTCTAGTGTAGAAGTTTGTTCAGTTGGTATATACGTAAGCTAGGCCCATCCACCGAAATTTTAATTCAGTTTATCATGTCAAAAATATATATATATATCCGTAGCACTTTTCTTGTAATTTCTATAAAGATAAAGATGTTTTCAGGATGCAAACTATGATAAAAACCATTTATGTTGCCATCAAAAACCTTCTAAACGAGCGTTTTCCTGTACGTCGCTAGGTTATCTGTGAGCACATTTATTAGAAGTTAAAAAATTTTGACGGTAAAAAAAGAAAAACAACATCAACAAGATTGAGGTGAAAGGATTCGGTTATTAACAACAATATTCTTTTATAGGCGTATGAAGCTAATCAAAAGAAATGGTAATCTTTTTGTAACATGTACACGCATTAGGAACTTATAAACTTTAAGAAAAATATAACAAATTTGTCTCTTTTTGCAAAAATTCTGAATAAAGAAAAATGAAAACGAAAATGTCGAAAAAAGAACAAAATTATTTTTTTCTATTTTTCACCTTGAGTTATCGTTTTTATTTTGTCAAATTCTGAAATTGATGCCTAAATTTTCTTAAGAAAAAAAAAATGTATATCAAAAAGGCAACCAAAAATTTATAATTTTTGTTTCATTTATATTTGTTTTTTTTTTTTTTTTTTTTTATAAAAGAAATGTGCTTCTTTTATTCTGTAGGCAACCGTCCTTTTGTTTTTTTTTTTTTTAATACGAGCAGTGAACGTGAAAGGATTTTCTTACTAGAGTTGATATATTATGAATTCTTCACGAACTTCGTAGACTTTATGTTTTTTTTTCGTTTTTGTTAATTTTGTTTCTTTTCTGTTATATTATATATAACAGTGCTTGTATGTATGTACATATGCTATCGAAAATTAAAGTTGGTGCGGAAAATTTTGAAAAGAATTTTTCAGATTCTTCTCAAATATTTTGTTTTGTTACATGCGAGCATACCCTAACGGCTGATTGTGCCTTTACAAGAACAAAAAAAAAATAATAATAATAAACCCAAAAGAAGAAAAATAATAAAAACAAAACGAAAATAAATGAGAATTTTTGTGATATTTTGCTTCTTTTTTTTTTTTGTTATACTTTTTGTTACATTTTTATCGTTGTCTCTTACTGTTGCTAATTATATTTACGCATTCATGTGACATATATTTGTATCTTGTGTATATATTGAGTTTATACGTGCTTCACATTTAATTTGTAATGTAAATTTCAAACAAATACGTATATATATATATATATATATATATGTATACTTGTGCTACTATACATATTTTATATTTTTTACTATATTTTAGTTTAAAATCCACAAAATTTCATATACGTATACGTATACAGTTATATAGTAAATGTATATTTGAAAATGAAAGAAAAGAGAAATTATAATATTATAACAGTGATACTTATTATGACGAGAACAAGGATCGTTATATTTGAAAGAAATGGGGAAATAAAAGTGGTAAAAAACAAAAACCTAAAATTTTCAAAAAAAAAAAAATAAGAAAATAAAATAAAAAATAAATTAACTTAAAGCAAAAGAAAATGTTGAAGGTCTTTTAAAAAACTTATTTTGAAATCTTGATATACAAAAGTTCTAAGTTCATTTGACACTAAGTAAAATCGGAAACTCAGTGTTATTCTGCTACTGTAGTTACTGTATTCAGTCTATCACATAATTATATTGTATTATACAATTACGAGTGTATAAATTTAATACTTCAATATGATGGCAATATTAACCGAGCGCTCAATGCCTTGCCTAGAGTACCTTCCTGAGACTCACATTTTTCATGAACCTCCAAAGGTGTCCCTTCTCTTATGAATCAACGCTCAAGACTAATTGAGAAGGTACATCGGAATTATCTTTCCCTTCCCCAAAGAACCTGCAAAATCCTCAGTCTCTAATCCCTTAACCCTTGTTTTGGATGTGACGTATCGGAACTTGTTTTAGGTGCGGTTCTGCAACAATATAGTGGAAATATCTGGTAACCTCTTTAATTTTTCTCTAAAAAACTATGCGAAATATTCTGGCTGTTTATACAGTTATTTAACAGATTTTTCACTAAATCGATTTTCCTTACGAATTTACGTTTTTCACGGAGCATAAACCCTTGATTCATAGTCTAATTTCCAAAATTTAATACGACGAAGCAGTGAATCTTGTTTAAATCTTAGATAAAATTCTTAAAATAATCTTAAATTCGAATTAATAATGCAATGAATAAGAAATAGATAAAACTAAGTTAAAATATTTTTAGAGATTACAACTCTTAACTCCTTAAATGCCGTAAAGTAAGAAACAACAAAAAACTAAAAGTGTAAGGAAGAACAAGAAAACAAAATTTAATTATTTAACACAAGAAAATGATAAAAAAAAAGAGAAAAGATAAGAAAAAATAACAGATAAAATTTAGTTGAAGAAACAAAAGCTTTAGAATATCAAGGATATTTCTCTTTCTCCCCTGTATTTTTTTGCTTTCAAATTTTTTAACATCCAAATTGTAAAAATATCATTGTCAAATGGAAATTTTTTGTGACGGTGATAGTGACGATAGCACGCTCCTGGTAATGATACCTATATTATGGTGGTATGTGATGCGATAAGGTAAAATAGAATGCAATATTATTTTGTTTTTGTTGGTGTTTTTTTTTGTTTTTTAATATTTTATTTTTCTGTTTGTTTTGCTGTTTTAGAGATCTGTAAAATTAAGATTCGTTGTAATTTGTGAGCTCATCTTTTGTCGTTTTCGTTCATTATTTGTTTTGATTATTACTTTTTTTTTTAATGTATATTTTTGCTGTTGTTTTTTTTTTTTTGTGTTTGGCACTTTATTTTTTTACAGTTAGTTGTGTTTTCTTTTGTTATCCTTGATATTTTTATGGTTTTATGAACGTTTATTTTTTTTTTTTTTGGATTCTTCTTTCTTATGGTTTAGTTTCTTGTTCTTTGTTTTTCTTTTTATTCTTTTTTACTCATTCATGAATGGGGTATGTTTATTGTATATCTTATGTTTTCGGCACATCACAATCTTTTATATTTCTATATTTTCTTGTTTAATATTTTCTAGTGCTTGTTTTCCCTTATTTGTTGTTATTGTTTTTTTTTGTATATTTTGCTCCTTTTAGTACATATTATTATTTATATTTTTATATATAATATACATAAACATAATGAATATGTAGTGACAATAATGGAATATATTTGTGTATATTATATATGTATATATAAACATAATAAAATTTTTGGAAAAGAAAAAAGGGAAAAATAAAAAAACAGTTTGGAAAATGTGTTATTTTTTTTTTTTATGTAACTTGTATAAAATAACAATGAACTAGAAAATCAACCAGGGGCGTTACTTAACTGACACACTACTCTGCTAACTGAATGATATTTTTTTTTTCAAAAAGTTTTATCATTTAAAATAAAAAAAGGATGTACCTTAAAAAAGATTTAATTTTTGGTTAAACAATTTTTAAATTGAAAGATTTATTTATAGTAATATTGTGTAATGATTTTGCTTATAAGGCATGCATTGAGAAATAAATAAAGGCTGTAAGCCTGATATAAATGCTGGCAAATATAGATAATAAAATTTTGTGTCAGACAGATTTTTTTTAATTTTATAAATGTGGGGGTTCAAATGGATATTATAGATGAAGGGACTTGTTTTTTTAAATTATTAAATTCCAGTTAGATGAAAGTTTACACTGTTGAACTAAAGCAATTCAACATTAAAAGATAATTAGAATACAATTTACAATATTTTAATACTCGTCTTATATCCTACATTTTACTTTAAATTTACGAAATACATAGTAATATTCACAATAATAATTATTATAATAATTTGCATTCTACATAGTATATAAAAATTGGAGAACCTTTAATATTGAAACACTAAGTTTGACAAAAATAAATACTAACAGTTAATCTGTTTCAATTCTAATTTGCTCTTTGAATAATTTATTTAATATTGCAATTTCAATTGTCTCTTATACATATTTCGCTCATTTACAATGAAGAGAGTCACCATAATATTATTTAAATTTATGTTATTTAGTAAAACATTTTCGAAAGCTTGAAACAAAACGTGTTTGCATATTATGCAGAGTGTGAAGTAAAACAAGCAACTCTTATCGTATGACAAAATAAGACAAAAATATTTCGGAAGAATGTGCGAGTACAAACTCATTTGGAACCTGTAGTGTAATGCTTTTACTGTAAAAAAAAAAAATGCTCAATTTTTACTGTAAACTCAATTTTGAGTTG